TCTTTCCATTTCCTGGGGAACAGTTGCTGTCTGTCACAGATGGTTTTGTCTTCCTATGCGGTGCATGAATATTGTCTAGCAATGAAAATATAGATGTTATTTCCAAAGAAAACATCAAAAAAAGAGGGGCGATTGGCCATGTATAGGAGTTTTACTAAATATTTTGCTTTCATAACATAATGCAACTATCCTCTCAACTCATACATGTATAAACATTTTTGAGGTCTTATCTTGTAGCAATAGGCAGAAAACTGAACTCCAGGACAAAGCTGGAGAATGCAACCAACAAAAAGCAAACTTGACCTATTGGGATCCTATGTCTTTTAGAGAGTAAACAATGGCACTGAAATTTGAAAATGAAGATGCAACTTCACAGCTTACTGTAGCTTACAGCAGAACTGTAACTTACAGTTACTGTAACACAGTCTAAAAAAACTGGGCACATGAATCACGAAGGTATTCAGCAGCCAGTGGATGTTGCCATTAGTGCCACTCCAGACCAGCAGATCATATCACTGTAGCAGTTGTGTATTCGCATAGCTTCCAGGAACGTTCCGCAGAAAAGCTCTATGAGAACCAGGCAGGCACTGCGCCAACAGTTTGCCAGAAGATTCTGTTTTCATGGAATTGCTCTAATTCCTGACATATGGATGTTGATAATCTAAGTGATTCCCCACTGAGAATACTTTGTACAGCTCCTAGTGCTTCTGCCAGAAGGAAAACTCTCTTTTGGCACACATGGTAGAGCTGCCTGCCTAGAGACTACAAGGGCCTTTAAATACGCCCAGGGACCCCATGGTTCCTGTTCAAGTCTCGGCTTTCTTCATGTGCAAGGCACACAGATAGTATGTCCGCTCCTAACCCGTGAGGAGTGCTCTGTTTTCAGCTAATGAGCTATGAAGAGATGAAGAGCAACAAAATGTCTTCAGTGATAACCAGATGCAACTGGTACAGATGGAACTTAGCATTAGTGTATTATAAAATAGAAGAAATAATATAAGGCTATCACTTTCCTTTTTGTTTCTGAGGATGTGTTTTGAATATATAACTGTAACTATCATTTAAACTTTTTAAAAATGACCCTTGATAACAATATATTCACCCCTATGAACAAATAACACACAGCATTACTAAATATAGTTACTAGTATATCTTAACTGTGAATATTATAGATTGATGCATGCTGGTACTTCTGATTTCGAAGTCACGTGGTGCAGAAAAAGAGAAATTGAAAGAGACTGGTAATAAATCATCAAATGGTGTTAACGTACTTGAGTAGTCTCATGTTTTAAATAACTACATTTTACTATTGATAGTTTAAATCATCTGTCAGTATACTGCTTTGGAACAATTTAGTCTGCCCATGTAAAAGAAAAAGAAAGACAAATATCTTGTAAATGGAGTTTGATGTCTTACTGAGTAAACCGTTAGGCTTTACTTTCTGTGGTAGGCTCTGATTCCAGCTCCTCACATGTATCAGGTCTGTGCAAAATTCTGTTCTTTGGTTTTTTTGTTGTTTTTTTTTCTTTTTCCTTAAATCTAGCAAGTAAAGCTTGGAAATGTATTGACAAACCAAAGGAGTTTGTTAGACAGCAACGATAGGTGCTCTCTTGTTTTGACAAAAGTCTACCATGATGTTTTGAGAAAATACTAAATTTCACAACACATGAATAGAAATCCTGTTAGGAAGTGGCAAACACATTTCTAATCAAGTCTTGTTCTAAGCTAAGAAGACTTTGCTGACGGAGGGGTTAAAACTGAATATCTGAAGTCAAAAGTCTTTTAAAGTGCTCTCTATAGCAATAATTTAATTACAACATACAGCCTTCAGGCACCCATTTATTTAGGAATTGCTAAATGCAGGCAGTCTAAGACCCTTACCTGTCCACGGCAAAGAGGAAAAAAGATCATTAATGAGATCTCTATATTGCATTTATCAGAAAAGGAATGGACTTCATGCTTGTTCATCTTTCCAGTCTAATAGGCAATACTATGTGGAGTAGTGATTTTTGAGATATTTGATCTCTAGGAACTGAACAAAGACCATCAGCATATAAACTTCTACCCAGACTTAGCACACCAGCCACATTTACTAGTTTTCATCTGTTAACCTAGAAACTGTAGGGTGATATTCCATGAGAAAATATAAGTGTCTTGAATGGCTGTGCTTTTTGGCATGAAATACAGCACTGTTTACAACTGCTTCTTCCTAAAAAGGAAGGAGGAAGGTACTCCAATTAATCTCATTTTTAGTGTTTGATATCAGTGTATTTTAGTTCCTTCTTCTACCTGCTGCAAAGGAATAAATGTGGCTTTTATCCACGTACAGAATAGAGTGGACTGTGGAGAAAGCGGGAAAAGCTGCTGTGTGGTTACAAGAACAGATCCAACAGCACTGGAAAGTTTCAGTTTTTTGTACATTGTCCAAATCCTTGTGACTCTTTCTGAACCAACTTGTTACACAACCTATATATTAGAATCTTACGTTTTTCACCACAGACAACTGGTTGGGGTGCCTGCCTCTGTTTTCTAAGTAGAAGATAATGACTGTGCAACACCATTGTAGTGGCATAACTTGAAAATCAAAGGGTGTAAGGTTGGATATATTAATTCTGCAGATACGAGGTCTTGCACTCTAAAGGGTGCTGTGTTTGTTCTTGATACTATAAATAAATGCTTTTCACTTTTGATCTTAGATAAAAAGGTGTGTTATATTGGATACAAGTACAGACATAGAGTGGAATGAAAGAAATGTCAAAGAATATTGACTAACCTGTTATAACAAGAAGTTTGTCTCTCTCTGTGCCCTTACAAGTCAGTAAAAGGTGGTAGGTGAAGATGCTGTGTATTCAGCAATTATTTAAATAGCATTATACTTAGAAATCTAAATACTAGAATCTGTAGGTGAACTGGTTCTACTGAAGAAGGTGAAGTTTCACTTTGCAAAGATGTTTCTCGCATCTTGGTATGCATATGCAGCTTGAAAGATTTTTATGGATATGGTCAAAACAGATATGAAAGTAACTGAGGTTTAAGTATGATTAATTATAATTAAAGCTTTTTAAAATGTCAATATTGTTATGAATATTGCAAGTTGTAAGA